TTGGTCAATTTTGTACTGCACAAGTTGGTAGAAATCTTCAATTTCCTCAGCTTTGGCTTTGATGGTTGGTGCGTGAAATTGAGTAATAGTAGTATTAACTGGTCTTCCTTGTAGACATATGGCTATTATCCTATCATTAACAACATTGTACTTCAGGAAAGATCTTGAGACAGTCTTTGTCATGATGAATCCCACGCCATTCCTCTTCAATTTGTCATTCCTGGCATAGTAGTTCATATGGCTTTCTGATTCAAAATGGCCCAAACCAGTCCATTTCAGCTCACTAATGCCTAGGATATCAATCTTTAGGCATTCCGCTTCAGTTCTGATAACTTCCAATATTTCTAGATTCATACTTCATACATTTCATGTTCCAATTATTAATGGATGTTTGCAGCTGTTTCTTCTCATTTTGAGTTGTGGCACATCAGCAAATGAAGGTCCCAAAAGCTTTACTCCATTCACATCATTAAAGCCCACTCTACTCTGAGGAGGCAGCTCTTCCCCAGTTGTATTTTGAGTGCCTTTTATCCTGAGGGGCTCATCTCCCAGCACTATGTTGGACAATGTTTCAGGGTTATTAAGTTTTCCAGTAATGTATCAGACAGTGTTTCACTGCTATTCATAAGGTTTTCATGGACCAATTCTTTGAGAAGTGGATGTCCCCCCCCCTTTTTCCAAATATTTCTTAGTCTGGAAGCTCTGCTGAAACCTGTCCACCATGGGTGACCCTGTTGGTATTTGAAATACTGGTAACATAGTCTCTAGCCTCTCAGCAACACACAAACCATTACAGTATGACAAACTGACAGATGAGTGTTGTTGTTGTTGTTGTTATGTGATATCGAGTTGGACCCAACTCATAGCGAAAATTTCTTGGGTTTCCGAGGCGGTATCTTATGGAAGTAGATTAACCAACCTTCCTTCCGAGGAGTGGCTGGTGGTTTGAACCACCATCCTTTTGGTTAGCAGTCAAATACCTTAGGCACTATGCCACCAGAGCTTTTACACACACACACACACACACACACACACACACACATACATTCACCACTTATCTGTCAGGAGCTCTGATGGAGTAGTGCCTAAGGTATTTGACTGCTAACCAGAAGGTTCAAACCCACCAGCCACTCCACCACTCCTTGAAAGGAAGGTTGAGAAATCTACTTCCGTAGTGATATTGCCTCGGAAACCCAAAGTGGGGCAAAGGGGGATCACTGTGAGTCAGATCCGACTCAACGACAGTGAGTTTAGTTTTTGGTTTATGTGTGTGTGTATATATATAGTCTTAATAATATATATTAATATATCAGAATTAATATAATATGGAACGTAATATATCATTAATTACACAAATAGTATATATATGTGATTAATTTATACAATATTAATTATGGCATAATCAATATAGTTAAGAATCATAGTAGCAATTCAAGGGACCTGAAATACCAAAAGACCATCTATGCCTGGTTTTAAAAAAAAAACTTTTTATTTTTTTTAATTTTTGATTTGGGTGAAGATTTACAGAGCAAATTCACTTTCCATA